TTGTACTGCGTATTTTTTAAAATTTCACTAACTTGTACAAATACTGGCTATAGCACTTGTAGATGAATCACAAGACCAATATCTGGCACTTACCCCAATGTTATCAAGAACAGACCAGAGGTAAGGTCAATTAGAGAACAGATGAAGGAGAACAACCTCATGCTAACAGTTGCAGCCATCAAGGGATGGGTGTTGCTTAGACTGAAACCTCTTGCAAACTGTCTCTGCATTTGTTTACATCTGAAATATTTCTACAAAAAGATACCCAAAACTGTGAGATTTAAGAAAAGTTAGAGCAGCAACCAAAGAAGAAAAGCAGCTGTGGATAATGAAGCAGAGCTTACCTATTACTTTTAAGGGAATGGCTTTGAGAAATGTGAACTCTAAGTGTCTGAGCAGTCTGCCAGTCCTCTCCGCCCCACGTCTTATGTTTAGATACATTTGGATGTGTTCCCTGTGAGGAGTGTTTTGGTGCACTCCCCGCTCTCTATATTTCTAGTTTATCTGATAGGATCTAAATCCCATAGACTGTGGGTAATACTTATTCCTCTCTTTCCAATTGTATATGTATTTTTAACTTTCCAGGATATTTGTCTTTGTTTTTTCTGAGACAGGGTTTCTTTGTGTAGCTTTGGAGTCTATCCAGAACTCACTCTGCAGACCAGGCTGGCCTTGAACTCACAGAGATCCATCTGCCTCTGCATCCCTAGTGCTAGGATCAATAACATGCTCCACCACCACCCAGATTTTCAGGAAATTTGGAAGCAATATCAGAGACTTGTTCTCTTCCCTTTCTTCTCACTGTCTGACATCTTCTTTGATACTGAATTCATTCAGTAATGTCATAATAGTCCCAGGAGTAAGCTATTTTAATCACCTCCCACAAGAGACTGAAGCCAGGTAACAGATCTTATTTGGAATAAAAGTGAAAACAATAAAAACATGTATTACTAACATGCTTATTGAACTATTATATGGAGCCCATTTCTCAGGGCACAACATCTTAAAGAAATAGGAAGAAATTATGTCATCCCTCTGTACTTTGCCTTCTTATACTTGCTTGATGTTAGATCTATGCTGACTTCATCATATTGACTTAGACTTAAATAAGTTATGATTTGTTTTTAATTAAAAATTAAGTAACATGGAGTCTTAAGAACATTATTTTCAGGTAAAAGTCTTTCTGATACACAGCTATGCAAAGTTGTCTCATGTTCAGATACTTCTGGGAAAAGTAATGGCAGACCTCGAGAGCATTCTATATATATAATGACAGTACAGAAAGATTTCCTGACAACGAAGCCTAGTTATAGCATGGGGAGACCGAATTTGGTACCTGAAGGAGCTTCAACAAGGAGACAAGAAAACACCTGAGTTGCAAGGGCAGAGAACAAGTCACAGGAGGTAGGATACAGGAGGCAGGATACAGAGAGCAAGCTTCCTTCACCCCACAATTTGGGCTACCCTCTGGTTCATTTAAATGTGCCAATGCAGTGTCTCTATGAGGAATGAAAACTGAAGTTATCACCAGTGTCTGCCACATATTCAAGATAAAAGGGAGCTACCATCCTTTGGGGACAGATGCAATGCCACTTCCTCTTGCTTTCCTTTGCAAGTGCACCCTTTATTTGAAGCTTTGTGGTCAACATTGCAGAAATGATTCACAGTGGATGCAATCACCTCTTCTCACTTCATGGGAAACAGTTGCATGATCTACTACTTTCAACAAAGTCTTTTCTTAACAGCGTATGTATACATATATTATGTATTCAAGAAATTTGAGCCTTTTGTTGGTGTGACCCTTTAAATTTGAGGAAACAAAGTGAAAAGAATAAAGATTAAAAACACATTCATGTGCAGTCATTTGTACAAAAGTTGGTGACTTGGTAACCATTTGTACAACTAATAGAGCTCAAAGTATACACATATTTAAAACACTATCTTATGAACTGGGCTCTGTATTTGTGGCCATGTTATTTTATTAGAAGCAAATGTTTTCAGCAACCCCCCACCAGACCCCCCACCCCACTCCTGGATTTCAGATATTCACCTGAAGTTACTCTTGAGGCTCAGAAAACATGTGTGACAGTCTTCCCTCCCACTCCTAGAAAAAGCCTTAGAAAGCCAGTGTTCCTTCCTTTCTATGCACTTGTGATTTCATTAGATTAGGGCCTCTGGTTTCCAAATTAATGAATTGACACTTTATTTAAAGGCGAGCCAGGGAGCACTCACTGCTGTTTACCGTGCTACCTTTTATGGCTTGCTTGAAGAACAAGGAGGTGGGACTTAGCTGATGGGGTGAAAAGGCACCTTTTCATGATTTAAATAAAGTTCAAAAGAAAACAATGTCTAAAATACTCTGTGAGTCTATCTAGCACAGACACTTCTTTTCTATGTCCCTATCATACTCACTCTCTAGTGACTGAGTGAGACAGCATGCATTTCTTCTGTCTCTCTTGTGGACACTAGGTGACTTTCTATGTTGACAAAACACTCGGGATTAACTGATGCTGACCATGAGTTCTAGGCCCAGAAGAAAGGATAAAAGGGGGCAAGAATGCCATCCATCTAATCTGGTGATACATGGAATTTTACTCTTGCAAAACCTGGGTGAAAAATAAGCAAACAGGGAAGTGGAGAGGGTGGCAGTCTTCACTCCCCATGGCTATTAACCAGAGTAATGTATCAGTTCCTTATGTTCATTTGTTAAGGAGACGTGGATACAGGCAATGGGCTTTTACACAATTCCCGCGTTATTAAAATTTTAACAGTTGCATCTAAGGTAGGTGTGTGTGTGTGTGTGTGTGTGTGTGTGTGTGTGGTTGTGGTTGGTTGTGTAGTGTGTGAATTTACTACCACTAAGTTCAGGAAGAAAATTAGTTCCTCTGAGAAAAACATCTTTGCATGCAGTCAACTCCCTGCTCTAGAGCACTTCCCATGGTTTCGGCCCATTAAGCGGAGCACAACAGCTTGATGAATTAATGCTTATATAGGCACAGTTGGCAGCTTCTAATTAAATAATTATGGCTAAGCAGCTGCACGGAAGCTGTTATGCACCCTAGAAAGCCAGCTGTCAGTTTTATTGGTCCTAAGACAGAGGAAGAGTTAATACCTAGCTCTGGATGTTGGGTACAAAAGAGAAGTCTATGATTTGCAAAAATGAAGCTCCTGTGTGTTTGTGCTAGCCTATCCAAAGAGATATGGAGAGAAAACTACTGCTCAGCAGCTCAACAAAAGAAGAAGCAGTTATGAGATCAGGAGACTGGAACATTTCCAGAACATTCTAAAGAGGACATAGTGTCAGACAGATAAGCCCTTGATGAACACAGAAACACCACTGACCTAGATGACAAAAATGTATCAATTGGGTGGGTAAATGATTAAAAGTCAAGTGTACAAACCTATATTTGAGCTATCTTTAAAGCATGTTTTCCCCCAAAGTTTGAAGATGACATATGTTCTACAGGATTACAGACAGTGTCAGTCCCTTACAGAAAGTTTAAAATCTAGAATCTAATCTCTGTATCCATAAGAACTTTGCCAGACAGAAGAAAGCAGTATTTGCAAAGGCTACGTTAATGACGCAGGACCAATAATGTTTGCTTACTGATTTGTAAGCTCCTGGGGTTGATTTAATTTTTCTTTATGGGCCATCTCGCCCATGCAATCCACACATCCTTACTTCTGAATAGATATGTGATGACCCAGTTTGGAAAAACTCCACATTCCATTGGCTTCTCTGCCTGCACAAACTCCAAATAGAGAAATACAACTATAGGCAAAGCCTGGTCCAAGAAATTCTGCCTTCCCTTTATTTTTAAACAAATGTAGATATCTTAACCCTGAGTTCTGAAGTTACTTTAAAATCTGCAGAAGGAGCCAGGCAATGGTGGCGCATACCTTTAATTCCAGCACTTAGGAGGCAGAGGCAGGCAGATCTCTATGAGTTCGAGACCAGCCTGGTCTACAAGAGCTAGTACCAGGACAGACTCCTACGCTACACAGGGAAGTCCTATCTTGAAACAAAATCAGCAGAAGGAAATGGGACGCTAACACAGAGAACATAGTCTTTGTGGAATGAACTCAACATCCAAACCCAAATCCTGTTGAAAATCAACAGTTAAATCAAGCATCACACCATATAGCCCAATTCACTGTTCTTCCTCCAAAGACCAATGACTTGTATTTCACAATGCCCGTCCATAAAATAAGGCTGTCCACACCATAAGCCTCCATTTAAGCAAAAGAAGAGACTTGGAGAGCCCTACTTGGGGGCACTGACCACCACATCTCCTCATATATGCACTTCTTTTCATGTCAGGCATTCTGTCAACTCGGGATCCGAGGTGCTTCCATGTGACCGGCAGTTCTCAGGGATCTAATCCCTTTTTGGTGGATCTTAGACAAAGTTCAGCTTAATTAAGCCTGCAATACAACTGCAGTCTCAGTAGAAAATGTTAAAGAACCAAACGACAGATTTGCAAAGCCGATAACGGTGGATTTCAGACCTGGGGAAGTGGGGGCTTTTCAGCAGTCTACACTGCCATCTAGCCAAGACCACGTCACTCTTACAGTGGCATTTGTGTTCTGAAAGCCAGTAATGAAAGCAAGCCTCCAACAATCAGCTTCACAGACCTCAAGAGTTTAGCTGAGAAGACTAACAGTAGTCCTTCCTCCAGACTGAATGCAAAACTCCAAACCCTGTGAACCAGCAGCCAAGCGCTATCAGTAATCTCATCTTCACAAGTCACTATCTAGAAAAAAAGTCACACTTGCTTCTTTACGAACTCTGACAGCATCATTTGTCCCTTCTAAATTTTGAAGTCTAACTATCCTGTGACCTCATTGGGAAAAGAATAAAGATTCCTCCAGGATCCCGTAAGGAACAAGAACTGAATTGTAGCACAGCTACAATCCCAAACCAGTATCCTTAGTCCCTAACAAAACAGCTGCAAAGAGAAGTCAAATACACAAAAATAAATGGAAGCCTTCCTACTTACGATAGAAGACGTATTCGGTATAGCTTGACCAGATCTTGTCCTCTGTGTACTGGTTGACAAAAGATGCTGTCACCGAGGAGTTACAGGCCACCATGTGGAATCCACACTCTGACAACATGTCGAAAGCTCTTTCCAGGTGTTTGAACTTGAGATAAAATCTGGAGGTGTATCTTTCTGGGGCTCGGTCTGGGTCTCTGCTTTCATTCAGAGTTTCTCCAAAGACTTCCTTTGCCAAGGAAATCCTTCCGCAAACCAAAATCCGGGGAACTCTCCGAAACTTGGCATCTGCTTGCCCCTCTCTGCCCAAGGTACAGGATCCCCTGTAACCCACAGTAATAAAACCCCACTTGCGGTCATGAGGGAGCAGTGAAGAGGGGGGGCAAATTCTTGTGTCACTTCCTTGGGAGCCATCCTCAAAGTCACTGTGGCAGAATTCATCGGGGCTTTGCTTGACTTCCTCAGGGGCCAAGAGTTTGACGAGGTCAGGGAGCTGGAAATACTCGGCCTCTCTTTTCAGCCTTCCCCGTTCTGGAAAGTGATCAGGCAGGACTACCTGCCTGTCCCTGAGAAAGTCCAGAATATAACGGAATAGGAAGCCATCTCTGTCGATGAAAAACCTCCCCTTGGAGTCCTTGGCTAAATCGTTAGCGCTGTCTCTCTTTGGGGAAAACATTTTCCATAAGAGGGAATGGGGGATGCTTATTAACGTGGAATGACGGGTGAAGTACACCTGGCCCCCAACGTTCAGCTCTATGACTTCAGGGAAGGAGTTGGGAACCACAGCCCCTTGATCCCGAGGATAATAACGACTACAGTTCCCACTCAGAGCCATTGTCTCTTTTTTCTGCAGATTCCTGGACTTAAAGGTGCAATCCAAGGGAGTTACAGCCTCAGGCTTTGCATCCAGTTGTAAGGGAGGGGAGAGGTGCTAACCTGTTCAGAATGACCTCCTTTTTACCAGGCTTTCACTCTTTATTCCCCCAACAAAGCAAATTTTAGGAGAGTCCACAGGTGAAGTGATGCTGGGCAGGGAGGGAGTTTAAAGCTGTCTGGTAGTGAGCTACCACTTCACAGGATATAACAATCAGCTTGTCTACATTCCGTCTTCCATTAGGCTGGCTAGGCAAGAAGGCCAAGTGCCCGGTTACTCGGAGATCTGTCTGAGAGGAAAAGAGAGAAATTATTTTCTCAGACCCAGACTGAGTCAGAAAAGGAGAGACCTCTGGGGAGAACAGAGAGGGAGAGAAGGAGGGAGGGAGGGAAAACGACAGGGAGGAGATTATTTTTACATAAGCAGCCTGTAACTATTGACTTTAGGCACTCCTTACCTGAGTTAGTGCTTCCCTCAGACTGCACTGTCTTTAAGTTTATCCGTATGCCACTGTCTCCAGCCAGCTGCTGCTCACATCGCTCCTGTTTGTAAATCTGATGTAAAAGGCACATGCAATTTTCAACTTCCAAAGAGCTCCGTTTGGGGGGGAGCAGAACAGAAAAAGCAGTGAAGTCTCTGCGCTTACCTTAGCGAGTGCTGGATACTCAGTTCTTGTGGAAGAAATAATCTCCAGAGCAATCTGAAACCAGAGCCACAGTGGCTCTGGATCTCTTGTCAAATTCCAAATAGGTAAAGGACAGAGGTATCGATGAAAAGTGTCAGAGAGAGGGGCTCTCGGAGAACAAACGATTCAGCACTGCACTTATGCGCTCCTAGATGTACGTGTGTGTGTGTGTGTGTGTGTGTGTGTGTGTGTGTGTGTGTGTGTGTACGTAGGTATTCACTCCCAAATCTCTAGTTAAAAGGGATCGCAGGGGAAAAAAAAAGTTGAGTCGTGAGGAGGTTGAGTCGAAGAAGTGAAGCAGAGAAAGGATTATTCAACCAAAGCTTCGGCAGGGGGAAAAAAGAAGAAAGAAAAGAAAACCCAAAATCCAAATCTTTATGTCAGATCCTTTACACCTTGGAGAGTTGCAAGAGGTACCTGGACTTAGAGGCATTCAGAGAGCCTGGAAGCAGACAAACAGACAAATGCGCCTGGCTAGGGTCGCAGTAGCCACCCCATCTGCCGGCAAGGGCAAAGGGACGCCCATATCCCTGCCAGTTAGCGAAAAAAAGCAGGGACGGAGGGGAGATGCCTGCCGGGTTCGGGTTCCGGAGCTGGGAGGTCCCACGGTGCCAGGAGCAGTTCGGATGCTGTTGTGTGAGCAGTGCAGGCAAGAAACCATCCAGGGAAATGACTATTACATCATCTTAAAGGAATAGGGCTTGGAGAGAGCGGAGGCAGCTCGGAGTCACGTCCTCGGCGGTGACAGGTTGCCAGCACTGACGGGGACTGGGACGTGGCGCCGGCAGTGGGCACTGGACGGGAGGCTCAGGCTCCTAGCGCAGGGCGGGGACGCTGCTCGGCACCGGCCCCGGTCCGGACTGTGATCAGGAGTTTGCAAGGGCCACCTCTCAGTTCTTCCCTGTTTTCAACTCCAAAGCACCCCCCTCCCAGTCCCCATCAAGTATCCACCACACTGGCAGTGATTTTCATTTGAAAAACCTCTGAAGGAGCTCTTCAAATGCATGACTCCGCAGAAGGGGGCAAGTCTCCCTCTAAACCATTTTCCCTTTAATCCGAGGAATGTTCAAGTTACAAGTGTTCTGGATTCTTTTTAAGCCTTTGATTACAGTCATATTCATTCAAATGCCCTTCCCCTTCATTCCTTCAGCCAACACAGGGGCGCTGACACACACACACACACACACACACACACAGGATCGAAGATGTTCTCTAAAAATTACTATTCAAATGTCCATTAAAAGCTAGGAATTTTAGCAGTAAGTTGCTATCTTGACTTACCTGTAAGAAACTGCTAACCTGCAACCTGTTCTGAGGCTTCCTCCTTACTGAGACTCTCTTTGGGTGTGCCTGCCCATCCCAGTTCATCCCAAGAGTACTCCCATGGAAGACACGCCTGCTAAGAGACGTTTTACCCCTGTCCCAGAGGGTTCTGTTAAGTGCATCATTAGAGTTTCAAGAAGGCATTTCCAGGGCAACCTAATACACTAACGACGTGCTTCCAGTTGAGCCTGCCAGTCAATAATGGCCCAGCCAACCGCTTACAGTAAGTCTGCCATTTCCCCTTAAAATGCCCAAGTCCTGGGCTCACATCCCTGGTAAGAAGGCACTTTTTCATCATTGAATAATACAGGTGAGGCACACACCATCCCTAACAACTGCTAATTTAAAGGCTGAAGGTAAAAAATGGAGGTGAGTATATGAGTTGAACACATTTAAGGAGATTTGTGTGTTCACTGCCAACTTTTGCATCATCAATTAGCTTGAAGATCTTTCAACAGCAGACTAAATTAAGTGTGTGTGTATTAACAATGTCTTCTTTCAATAACCATTGGGTTACTGAACACATTTAGAGTATTAGCTCATTCCCAACCCCTTATTCTGTTTGATTTTGCTGCCTTAACTAATGCATTAACCTGCTCTCTCTTTCTGGCCTCCATTGCCTAAATTTTAAAGCTGGCACAATTAAAGGAAGGTTTATTATGTGATGCGCGTATATCGCCATCTAGTGTCCAAAAATGATCAGTACAATTCGGTATATGGACATTTAGTTGAGCTAATCTACTTTTATCTATTTTTACTTAAATTTTTATAGTGAACTGAATTTACTTTGTATTCATTATTCACCATGATGACAATATAAACATTTCATTTACATCAGGTCAGAGAAAAGAGTGAATCTGAGTCTATGCTGCCCTAAGTACTGGTTTGGGTGACTAAGAACACAAGCGAATGCTTGGCTTCTGTTGGCTGCTGTTGATACTGAGACCGGGTCTTACATAGCCCAGACTGACCCCAAACTTGCTATACATCCAAGAACAACTTTGACTCTCTGATTCTCCTCCCTCTTCTTCCAGGAGCTGAGATTACAGGCACCACCACACCTAACAAGTGTGTGTGTGTGTGTGTCTGTCTGTCTGTCTGTCTGTCTGTCTGTGTTCTCATGCACATGCATGGAGTGGGAATGTGGGAATGGGCCCCCACATGTAAACAAAAAATTCTACCCCTGAGATCCATTCTCATTCTGAACCCCTGGGCTTTAATTTTTTAAAGTGTAACAGCACATTCTGACTATTGCTTCAGAGCTCAGGTGTTAAAGTATTCTCTTCATTAGGGATTCTAAACAAGGGGTAGGGAGGACAGCTGATTAGAAAAAAAGAATTCCAAGATTACAATGCATTTTAATGACCCAGTCACTTGAAAGAGTTTTCTAATATTAACTTAAATTGCAAAGCTAAAAGATTCTACAATCTCAAAGAAAAATGTTCTCAATCAAAAATGAGAGTACTAGTATGGTGTGGTTTAATAAGCATGCCTTTAATCCCAACACTTGGGAGGCAGAGGTAGATGAACCTCTGTGAGTTAAAGGCCAGTCTTGTCTACATAGTAAGTTCTGGGACAGCCAAAGCTACATAGGGAGACATTGTGTCAAAAAAACCAAAGCTGGGGATCTGTTCACTGGTGTTTGTTTCATAGATTACATTACCTTCAAGCCAAGCATTCATTTGAGGATAACTATTATTAACTATGTATCTATCGATGGGTTTGCAGCCTTTCTATTGGTGCTTGCTGCACTTGGCTCATGGATACCTTCCCAACCCCTCTCTTAGCCTCTCCTCTTCCTCCCTTCCCCATGTCTGCTCATGCCTTCCTAACAGACCCCTACTTTCAGGTTAGCATTTAAATTTTTTAAAGTGTTTCTATTCTAGGATCTATATACAACAGAAAAATGTGATAGATATATTTTTTCTAAATCTTCCTTACTTCGCTTAACATGATGACCTCTAATTCATTTGTTTTCTAGCAAATAAATTATTCATTTTTATGACTACATGAAACTCCATTGTAATGTGTGTGTGTGTGTGCCTGTGCCTGACTGCATGCCTGCATGTGTGTATGTTAAAATTTTCTTTATCCATTCATTTCTTGATAGACAACAAGACTGATTCTATAATCTGGATACTGTGAATGCAGGGAAATGAAAATGGGTTTGTATGTGTCTCTAGTGAGCTTGGATAAAATTCCATCGGGTGTATACCCAGGAGTGGTACAGATGTATCAAATAGTAGTTCTATTTTTAGTTTCATGTGGAACCTGTAATGATAAATTCATTAACATTCCTACCAACAGTATGTGAGTGTTCCTTTTTCTATGTGTCCTCACCAACAGTTATCCTTTGTGTGTTGGTAACAGCCATCTGGGTGGAATAAGAAGGACTATGGGTGTAATTTTGATTTTGTAATATTTGTTGACCAGATTGCTTCTCTTGAGGGGTGTTTGTCCAGACAGTTTGTTCATTTGTTTATTGGATTTCTTGTTCTTTCATTGCTATGGGCTTTGAGTTCTTTATATATTCTTCATATTAGTTATCTGCCACAAAAATGGCTAGCAGAGATTTCTCTCCCATCCTCTAAGCAGGAACAAGGAGTTCCTCACTGATGTTGGAGAATGGACTGATGACACCCAGCAAATCAGCACACACATAAAAATGTTCTTTTGCCTCTCAGACAGGGTTGATGAAAGAAGTGGGAGGCATTGAGTCACATGTCATAACACACCCCAGTTTTTAACTGCAACAGTCCAGTTTTAAATGAATTATAATTACATCCTCAGAGACATAGTCTGAAGACTGAAAAAAATTCACCAGTCTACATTATTTTAGGACCCATGATTTTTCCATATCACCTGAAACACAGTGTCAATTTTTAACACCATGAACACTCTGTATTTACACTATTTCATTATAGTTCTGTGCTGAATGTGTTCTCTTACTATAGTAAATGACTGGTAATTGGCAGCTGGTTTGCTAGCTTTCTTTGGTAATGTTCTAATCTCCCTTGTGCCTCAAGAAATCAGGATAATCTGGGCTTCTGTTGCCTCAGGAGTGGCCAAGAGTTTGGTTTGAAATTGGCCTGAAGCGTATTTCTGTTGACCCCAGATATGTAGTACTCCCTATTCCCTCTGTCTCAGGGACAGCAAAGAGAGGTGAAATGTGAGAGATAAAAGGTTCAAAGGACGTATAAAATATGGACAGACCTAAGTAGTGCCAAAGTAAGCGATTATCTCCTGGAGGCTGTCAGTAAGGCTGGCTGCTTGGCGCCTCAACAAAAGGCAAGAAGCCAAGTCTAGGTTGTAAGTGTATTCCTGCCCTTCATGTCAGCAGATCACACTGGTGGTGTTACTATTCCCTTTGGGCAACTCTCCACTGAAACATTGTGCAATGGGACATGCAGCTCAAAGGCCAAACACCAGACAGCAATAGATTTATCTTAAGGGAAGAGCATGGAAGACTGTTCACCCTGTTCCTTGTAATATTCAAGCATGTAGCACATCAAAACACTGATTATGTAAATCAAAAGAAATGTATCTTAGTCAGTATTTCATTCCCTATGTTTCTACATCCTGAATAGCTGAACTGTTGAAGGAATATCCAAAAAAGAGCAGTTTTAATTTGAGGATAATGTAATCCCTCTCCACATGGAACACTCAAGTTTCCTCTCCCACCCAGCAGAGGTAGCTTTTATGCTGTCTTTGCTCTCAGGAAGAAAATTGACCTCATAAACCCACTCCTGCTAAGGTGATGTGGACTCATCATAGTATGCACCCCAAGCACTCTGGAATCATCACTGCCATTGTAATAGCTGCTCTTTATGGAGGTTACACCATGATCATTAGTCTTCCTCTTGTCCCGCTAAACTGGAATCATGACTTAGAGCAGGGGACTCAGTCTCCCAGCTAGAGTTAGAATGGCAATAAGAAGACTTGCCTCATAGGTGTTTTGTGCAGATTAAATATTACAATGCACAGGGGTCCTCAGGCACATTCCACGGCTCTCAGTGAATGCTTAGTAGTAACTGCCATCAGTATTTATAATGGTGGCAAAAGAAGCTGAGTTCACAGCCAGACTCCAGCAGAGGCAGGAAGAAATTACAAAAGTGGTTCAAGACGGAAATGCAATTCTACTTTCAAAAGCTTTGCTCTCACTAGTATGAAATGACTAATGTTCATTTTAGCAACTTTTCAGTTTATGGGAAATTTAGGTTTTTGTGAGAGAGAAATAGAATGGGGAACTGAAAACAGCCCATATCCCAGTGGCTAAAATGGGAAACAGCACTGTCTTTCACCAGGACACATCACATTCCGCATGGACTTTTTTTAAGTGCTGATGCTACATCCAGTACACCACTAGGTAGTTGGGACACAAAGCTGAATGTGACAGAATTTCATGGGCCCAAAGAAAGATGGTACCAGTAGATAAATG